GGGGGGGGGGGGGGGGATTTTTGGGATTGGAGGGGAGATTCTGTTTAGGGGATTTTTGGGGCTTTAGGGGCAAGTGAGCCGGCGATTTTGGTGGCTGAACGCTGACGATAAATACATGGGAGAACTGAAGCTTGTCAACGATTATTCAAAGAACGGAACAGAAACAGAATTCGGAACAGTTTATTTATACTGAACTGATCAATGAATAGGTTCAACCATTGATTATTTGATTATCCAGTTAATCGTCCATTAACATTAACCATTTTCAACTTCATGATCTATCGGGGAGTTATTGTAATCACCCCGAAAATTAATCATTAGTTTTTTTACTAGTTCTCCATGTTTCAAGGCGTTTAAAATTTTTGAGGACATCTGAAAATGCTTATGTGTGGGGGTGCGACAATTTCTTCCGAATGAACCGTACGATCAAGATGACGCAATCAGAAGTTCTTCATGTAATTTAGATCTAATTATATTTTGAAATGAATGGCTCCAGTAGTTTCTCCAAAATTTCCCGGAGAAAAATTTGAAAATTGCTGAGACAAGGATTTTTCATAAATAAATTATGGGATTCAGATTATCAATGTCAGAATATCACTGGGGTGAATTGGTCGAGTGATTTTTCCTAAATTTCCTGGAGAAAAGTTTGGAATTGCTAAGACAAGGATTTTTCATGAATAAATTATGTAACTGGGATTAACGATATCAGAATATCACTGGAATGAATTGCTCAAGTGGTTTTCCCACGATCAAGTATTAGAATTGGTAAGTTCTTACACTGATTGAATTATTGGATAATTTTGGAGATTTATTGACGATTCATTGAATAATTGAATAATATGCAGCGATAATTATCCATTACTGAAATGATTAAAAAATTCCTCACGTCAATTACCTAAGAAAATTAATTTCTTTTCGATCACAAATCGATTCAAGCATCGAACGTTGTCAATTGTGTTGATATGATTGACAATTGACCGGAATATTGGATTGAAAATCTCTCCATAAAAATTATTCATTGACTAAATAACTGTTTGTTTCGGAATTATACTTAATTGCAATCGGAAGTAATCAGAAATTTCCAGAATCAATTAATTCCGCTTTAAATAATTGATAAAAAATCAAACAGAATTAACAGTTGATACATTAATCGATTAATTTTTCATTCTGATTAACAATTGACTTATTAATTGGTAATCGTTGGTGGGTGATTGATATCAATTGTCGATTAGTAAAATAATTGGCGATTCTTGGTCCACATTATTCATTGCTTAATCAATTGAAAAATCATCCCCTCGAATTTCGGATTATCCAAGTAATCGAATAATATTAATTGGAATTTATAATTCAGGATGAGGCGAACTGCACTCGAACAATTAGGTAATCAACTCTCTGAATATCGAATTGAAAGGGGGAATCCTCATTACTAATGGAGCTGATACGGTATTCTCGAAGTAACTAAACTGCGAGATATCGATCATTTTTTCTCGACTTATGAAAATAATCGAAGTCTATGCACGTCATATCCGGTCTAACCTCCAAGGCGCTTGGCGCGCCTCCTTGTGCTAGTCCTTATTACTAAAGGAGCTGATGCGGTATTCTCGAAATAACTAAACTGCGAGATATCGATCATTTTTTCTCGATTTATGAAAATAATCGAAGCCTATGCACGTTATATCCGGTCTAATCTCCAAGGCGCTTGGCGCGCCTCCTTATGCTAGTCCTTATTACTAAAGGAGCTGATGCGGTATTCTCGAAATAATCAAACTGCGAGATATCGATCATTTTTTCTCGATTTATGAAAATAATCGATGTCTATGCACGTCATATCCGGTCTAACCTCCAGGCTGGTCCTATTCTAAGAAGAACATACACTTAAAGTCGATAACTATCGATATCTCGCAAGTCTGCCACGCTTATTCCTCATTGGTTCCAGTCGTCTGAGGCGGCAAATTTAATTCATGATTAATTTAATTTTGAAATTTTCAATTATGATTGTTACAATTGCAGCGCGCGGTAGCGCGCGTTCGGTCTCGTCACATAAACCCACAATATTTTACTCGTTATGATAAGATTGATCTATTCCAAGACGAATTCAGCAAATCTATCCATCACTTAAAAAATGCATTCGTCAGAAACTCTGAAGGACATTTTTTTTCTTCTCCACTTTGGTGAAATATGTCATTGACTACCCAATTGTTGTCCCCATTCAATGATAACGAAATCGTATTTTTATTTCGCATTGAGGTCTTAGTTATCCGTGCATCATATGGCATACTGATGAGGCTACTGTGCCTCTCTAGCATGAAAAACCCCACATCTGGATGTCCATGCGATTCTTGGAATAGATTGTCTCTAGTATTCGCGTTGCCACAATTGACA